CTCTCTCTCTCTTTCTCTCTCTCTCTCTCTCTCTCTTCGCTCCACGAAGGTCCGCGCGCGAAACTCGCGCGAACCCGCGTCCACCCGGTTAAACAGATGAGAATCTTTCGGTCTATTAGTGGAGCTGCCACCGTTTTGCCGCGTAAAGAGAATTGATATCTTCTCCCCGTACGGTTTGCCCGTCCTCTTTTTCTTGCGTCTTCTTCTTCCCCGGGACTTCTGCGTACGGGAGTATTTTATTTGCGGCCCGTTCGCGGTCTGGGTTAAGTAGCTACTGCGCGTTGGCAGTAACATTGATTTATATGTTAATATAGTGTTTTCTGGAAATTCTATTTAGCAAGTTCTAAGACTCGTACATTACACTTTATCTCGAAACTGACAATTTCTGTGCTTCCCCTTGCATCTTTCGAGAAGTGGGAACTTTTACAATGGAAGGGAAATTCAGTCCACTTATTTCGTTCTCTCTGCGTTTATTCGCGATGGATGTGCGGTGAGATATTTAACACAGGGAATGAGATTCCGTTGTATTTCATTTTCACGTGTCTCATCTGGAAAAATTGAAATTGTAAATCCTCGGTTCGCATATCGCGTTTCGGTTTCAAAGCTCTCGCGCACCGTGGTAGGTAGAACATTACCTCGCTATTATATTTAGATCGTCATGGTGCCCGACAAACGTCGAACCGTTCCCCTTTGTCTCGGATCCGATCACGTGCAACGCGTACGCAGAAGATTCGTCGCGCAGTTCCGGCGACGATTCGCGGGGATCGTAAACCTGGACCTCGACGTCTCTCGAGGAGTACTTCTCGGAAACGGTGCGTGAACACGTGTTTAGAATTAGGTGGCCTGGCTCGTTCGAGGGGAACCTCGAACCTCGAACTTCACCAGCCTGATTCCATTCGACATTCCTACTTCCAGCGTTGTACTTCGCCATATTGTACTTCACGGTATACACAAGCTGTCGCGTATCTGCAACTTTCTACTAAGGCGGGGCAATCTTTTGAACTCGCTTTCAAACGAAATAGAATTCATATGTATTTAGAATTCGAACTTCACGTGACTGTTCGTAAGACAACTCTTCGATACACTCGTCAACTCTAATATAACGCGAAAGAATCTGGTTTTCCAATAATCATTTTAACCCTTTGCGGAAGAATGTCGACATTTCGGCGAGATGAGATGATGTTTCGAAGACTAAGTCGCCAACAAATGATTTAATTATTCAAACAGCAAGAGATCAGCACGTACTTTCTGGTTTTTCTATTATTTAAGCAACTGGTATATGATTTAGCTTCGTCTGCTGAATGTTTTGTATATTTCAAAGAATCTTCGTTCGCAAAGGGTTAATTGTCTATAAAATACTTGCACCAACAATAGATAAAACTTCACATGACATTGTTTTAAATAACAGTGTAGAGGAATGATTGTTTTAAATAATAATCATTCCTCTACACCTGAAATTATTCAATAGCCTCCAAACCAGTGCAACTTCTCAAGCGTCCAACCATTCGCATCAACCGATGAACTCGAAGCATCGAACGCATCGAGCACAAAATCTCACCAGCCAAGTTTCAAATTTGAATATCGATCCGTCGCACTCCGAACCAAACGAACCTACATAAGATCCATCCCCCTCGAAGTACAGGGTGGTAGGTCTCCGCGCGTCTCCGCTAACTAGCCCAAAATTGCGCGTCCATGCGAGAAGTCGAGTTAGCGGGCTAGCGAGCGTGTCGTTTCGCTGGAAACTCGGCTGGTTCGCTCGAAAAAGCTTAAATCACGCAACAGGGAGCTAAGTGGCCGATGTCGGGTGGCGCGGCCGGTGCGGGGTGGTGCGCGCGGACGGGCGCGAGAAAAAGGATAACGAGGGAGGCAGAGCCCCGGGGTATTCGCATTCCTGGAGCGCGTGCCGCGATGTCAGTTTCGAAAGCGAATGATACGTAATTTATAACGGCGTGGAACTAAATACCCCGTTAGGAGGAGGAGCGTCTTCGCGGAGGGACGGACGTGGCCGCGGAACGACGGGGAGGGAATCGAACGAGTGGGCGAGACGAGGAAAGGGAAGCACCGGCGTGCGCGAGCGGGACGGAGAGGTTCGAGAAAGAGAGGGTTGCCGAGCGTGGAACAAGGGAATCCGAGGCCGTAGACGAGAGAAGACGGGCCGGTGTCTAAATATCGAGCACATGTCGCGGCTTCCCCCCGAAACGCGCCAACCGAAATAGAAGCCACCACCGTGGACCACCGTACGTCATCTTGCGGGATAGCGGGTCGGCTTCGGCCGCCGCTGATCTGCTTTGCTGTTCCGCGGCCTCGTGTTTGCTGTTACGCGGCCCTGTTTCTACGTGTAAAGTCGTCCGTCTTCTTCCTGCTTCCCCTTCTTCCAGGTTTCCCTCGTTTTCCTCGGGATCGGTTATATACCTAGGGGATAGGTGTCTGGTTTCGCTGGTGACACGGTTTCTGACGTTGACACTGGTAGGTGTTCGGAAGTGGACGAAATTTGTTAACCGTTTGCGATCGAAAGACTTTTAGTAGGAATATCTCGAATTGTTCGGAGGTGGGAATTTTTTGAAATAAATGAGGAACCGTGTAGATTAGGGAATGAAGATTTTATTCGTTTCATGTATCGATGCGTTATATGAAGCTTAACCCTTTGTACTCGAGCGGTGACTCTCAGTCACCACTTGATTTGACACAGTAAAACTATAGAATGTGATGTTTAATGTTAAACATCGTCTTCGCCTCGTGAAGAAACGGTAAATATTTCTAGTAAGAAACATTTGAGTGCAAAGGGTTAATATTATATGAGACTTTATCATTTTTGTTAAATCAAGTGGTGACTCTTTGTCAACGAATGTAAACACTCTGGCGAGATGAAATTTCCGTAGTTGGAACACTAAGTTGCGAACGATTGTTTTGATTACAACAGCAAGAGATCAGTGTATAGTTTCCTTTTTTTCTATTAATTAAGCGTTCGATATATAATTTGGCTTCATATGTGCATGTTTTGTATATTTCATAGAGTTTTCGTCCGCAGAAGGTTAATCAAATTGAAATCATGCTAGGAAGAAAATCTCGGTCATTCGCTATTCCAAGTTCACAACCGACCGTACCGCGAATACCAAAATGCAAGATCGCAGGTTGAACAGTAGATCGCATCTACATACACTCGCATATCGAGATTCCCCGGCTCGTTCGCGGAAGAGATCGATCCCCGCGCAAGGACGCGGCTACACGGAACCGACGAGCCCGCGAGGGAAAAGAAACGGAAATAGAGCGAGGCGGGAGAGAGAGCAATAAGGGGCGAATGGTATTCTCTAATAGGCTGGCTGTCTTCTTAATTGACCGGACGGCTCGTAAGTGCGCGATGAGTTACACCTCTCGAAGCGGAGAAACGGGCCGGGGCCGGACCGGGTCGGCCGAGAGGGATCCTGACTGTGAACTGTCAGCGGTGAACGGCTCACTCCGCTTTATATCGTTGGCACTAAATCAACGGGGAAGGATAGCGGGAATTATAGGGCCTGTTAATGAAAGGGAGAGAGGAAACGAGAACAGAAAAGGAACGAGGACGGAATCGCGCGTGTAGCCGTTGGTATCGATGCTTCGAGACTCGTGGAAGGAGTCGACGCCTTGGAAATTGTTATCGGCAGCGCTACCGGTCAGGACTCGTTCGTCTAACAGTGTTATAGGAAGAATCGCGAGGAAGTTGATCGCTGGTAACACAACCGGAGACGACTTCCGGCGTCGAAATGGCCGAGTAATGCGAGGAAAATGGAGGAAACGTCCATAGCTCGTATCCCCTTCAATCAACGTTCGGTCTGGATCTCCGTGCTCCTCTCGTCGCCCAATTTTCTCCCGACGCCGTGTCGTCCGTCGTCGTCGTCGTCGTCGTCGTCGTCGTCGTCGTTGTCGTAGTCGTCGTCGTGGTCGTGTCGCTGTCTCTGGCTGCGGTGGCTTCGTGCTTCTCTTATTTCATCGCGGGGACAGGCCGCGGCAGAAAAGCGGGAAAGAAAATAAGACAGCCAGAGGCGGCGCGGCAGGGAAAGAGAAAGCGAGGAGTCGGGTATCTTCTAATAGATCGGCTGTCTTCTTAATTGACTAGGTGGGTCGTAAGTGTCTGACGGGCTCGCGCCTCCCGGACTCGTCGAAATAAGCGGCCGGATTGACCGTGAATGCTAAACGCGGAATACGCCGGCCGGCCCGCCGCGTCCCTGCGCCAATGACGGTGATTGATCGTCGCAATTATATAATCGACACCGTGCCCATCGGCGAGACGACCGTTCGACGTTCCTCACGGGTCGGGTCGAGGCGGCCATGCCACGGGTCGGGGATCTTATTCGCGGTCGCCTCTTGCGCCGCGGTTCTCCGGAGGACCGGTGAATTCTCAGGTGCTCAGGTATCTTCTGACGGTTTACGTGTTTGATCGTTGGGAGCTTCGATGCTTATTTATGCGAATTGCGATGTACTGTGCTAATTGGTATATGTAACTTTTATGTCAGTGTTACATTTATGTCAGTGGCTAGGGTAGACTGGGGTGAATCGCGTCAGTTTAGATTCGACAGCGAAGTACTGATAGTTGAAGAAGGAACAATTTTTTCATAAATGTCTTATATATGGACTTTCAGCTTGAATATCAGTAGGAAACAATTTTGATAAATTTGAAAACCTTCATTTTATAAGCGAACAAAGTGAGAAATACCCGATTCGCCCCGAATCCCAGGTGAACTGAATATTTCTCTTTTCAGATTTTTGCTTGTGAAACGGTTTCTAAGTTCCTCAAAATTTTTCTTTACTGATATTCAAGCTGAACGTATATTAATAAGAAATCTGTGAAAGCATATATTGATTCTAAGCTTTAACTATTAGTTTTTCTGTTAAATCTGAACTGGTCCGATTCGCCTCGGTCCACCCCCTCAAGTTTTCAAATTTTTATAAAACGTTCGTAACTTCTAAGTTATAGACCTGTAAAGGCTTGGACGTTTAAGTGTTTAATTACTGGAATGTTCCAGAACTCGAATACTCCAAGACTCAGCTGCCAGGCGAAGCCAGCAAACGCCTCGTCCGCAACAGAGCACCATGGACAGAAGCAGTTATGCGCGCGAGGAGCGCTTTGACTGCGCGCGAGCGTCCTCGGCACCTTTTCGTCGCGGTGAATGGCGTTACGGAGGGAAAATGGTCTCTGCGAAGGGCCTCACGCCCTCGACAATACGGCAATCTCGTTCGAAGTGGCCGGGCCTCTCGCCGGCAAGAGAAGAAGAGGCAGAAGAAGGGCAGATAAAGGTAAGCCCGGGGTCGATTCGTTCTGCGCCCATTGTCAGCCACTTGAAGGATCAGTTTTTGAGCGAAACGCTAGAAAATGGGCCCCGTCCCCCACCCCGTCGTCACCGTTTTCTTTCTCGCGGCTTGGTGCGCCTCGCATAATTGCGATTTAAGAGGCACCGAACAGCTGCGACCGGCGACAATGCGCCGGCCACTCGAGACGGACAATCGAACAATTTGGACCCCGCTGTCGTGGCCGCAGTAAAAGTCACGCGAGACGCCGATTTTCCACCGGAAAACCTTACACCTCTGCGACCAGGCGACTCCCGGAGGGGGCACGAGCTGCTTCCGGCTGCGTAGCGTCTCTTTAATTGTACCAGAAGCTTCAGAAAATGTGCAACGTACACTTAGAACATCGCAGATACTGATGCAAGTTTCTGTTTTTCGTTCATACTGACCAGAATTTAAAAACTTGCATATTAATCCTTTGCGGACGAATGTCGACACTTCGGAGACACGAAGTGTTCATATTTGGAAGACTAAGTCGATGAGAAATGATTTAATTACGCTAACAGTAACAGATCAGGTCGTAGTTTCCTTTTTTCCTATCAATTAAGTGACTGATATTTAACTTCAATTATTGAAGACTTTGTAAATTTCAAAGTATCTTCGTCCGCAAAGGGTTAAAGATTCCACGAGGTTTGTAATAAAATAGGGACATTAGCAAACTTTCTAGACCACCCTGATGTGTTAAGACTGTTCAGCGAAGATGCTAGTTAAAAATTTGGCACTTCACGTATAACCTAAAAACACTGAAAGATATGCGAACAGATAATCCCGAGTCCTTCGGAGACTACTAGCTGCAAATTTCCTAATTCTCCAAGAGCCCAGCTGTTTAAGGCAACAATCTTCCGCGGTAGCTTCCCAAAAGGGCTATTTCTATTTCTCCTTTCTCCGGTGGAAGTCGACTGCGCGGAGACTTCTTAAAAATTCCAGCAGTCGCGTTCGAGGCGAACGGCAGGGAAGAAGGGTATCGTTTCCGAGAGCTTTAATGAACCAGGCGTGTGGTCTTTCAGAGGCGCGATCGTCCTTGTCTCCGCGGGCTATCCAATAGAAACGGCGTGTCCGGCCGTGAATGGCGGATTCGCGTCGCCGTAAAGGATCCAGTTGTAAAAGAGATCCGACGGCGGCATTGTGCCCGGCGCGGAACCCGTGGACCATTCGAAGTTGTTTAAATCCTTGTAAAGCTCGACAGAGAGAAAGAGAGAGAGAGAGAGAGAGAGGACGCGGCCGTGGTGTCGCTTTCCGCTCTCGAGTGGCTTCGATTGTCGACCTCTTGAAAAGACTGAAATTGAGTCCGACAACCCAAAACCCGCAGCCCGAGCAGGTGCTCGGGTAACTTCCTCGTTCGCATCCCTTCCCGTCCTTCCGGGAAGGATCCGGAAAATCATGAAGCCCGAAATGGATCCAGAACGCATTACCGTAATGGGCGACGCTGGTATTCCATAGAATCTTCGAACCTCTCGCGAACTGCAGGGAATCGGAGCGTTCCATCGGTGCACCGGAGCTTCGTTCCTGTGATCTACATCCGCTGGAGAACGTCGGTTGAACGGATAAGAATGATCTATCTTCAATTTGCAAAATTTGATTTTTTTTGTTTTTTGATAGACATTAACTTTGGGGATTGATGTGAAGTGTATTATTATTGGATGCTTGTTTTACCTTTGGTAGAGTTTGATTTTTCTCCTCGCTCAAGGTCGTGTAAGGTTGTTCAAGGTTAATTAATGATTTGCTTTGGGGCATGTTTGTTTATATGTATATGATAGTATAGTTTAATATGGTGATTTTGATCATTATAGTGTTGTTAAGTGCGAGACATGTACGAACTTCTAAAGTTCCTTTCAACTTCCTACATTTTGTCTCCATTCTCCAGAGTTCCTCATTTTTCGCTCGTCAGGAATGAAAGCGTCGTAGTCAAAGACGAACGAAGGACGTCCCGATCGATCGAGAATCGACGTTTTAATAAAACACCCCGCAGGAACGTTCACCGAGGAGCTCTTAAATACCGGTATTCTTCCAGTCGAGCGGTTCGGAATCAACCGGGTCCCAGCTCGTCGATCGTATTAACGCCGCGTTTGTGTGCTAACGAGCGGCTTGATAGTCCGCGCGGAAAGAGCCGAAAGGATCGAAATCTCGAAAAACATTCTCGAGGAATCTCCGGATCGCTCCCCCGCCCGGCGCATTAATTTCCCAGCGTCGTTTCAATGCCCGGTCCCTTACTTGATTCTTTGACCCGGTATAAACTAATTTATCCTCGTAAAAACGGGCTTAACGCATTGTGCGACGGGAAACGAGTTAACCGGTCGTTCCGGAGAGGATTTAGTGGTCGGACAACTTCTGTGGAAAAGTATATGAACGCACGTTGTATCTCCGATCGGACAGAAACTGAGAATAATTCACTTTGTTTTCGGGGACCGGGAAATCTCCGAAGATCTGTTTCGATTACGGTTTATTGGGCATCAAAAACCAGTTCCCACGTTTTATTGCATGCTGTAGTACTAACTTGTAACTACTATTCCTCGTAAGAAGTCTATTTCCCTTTAACGAGCTCCATAGATTCCGAAATATACAAATATTTTGAAAAACTCCAATAAAAAGGTGACACATTATCGAACATTTAACTTCGACCTCATCGTTCCAAGCTTCCACAATCAACTGGTCTTCAATACCAATCTCAAAATCACAATCCTCAATATACAAACCATTACCGAAAATCACATTTCCAATTCAAATGATACAACTCCTCAAACTGCTCAATAGTTCCATACAAAATTATGTCACACAAAAGTTCCTCTAATTTTCGAACTCATCGGACAACCCTCCGTGACTTTTTCCAGACCTTATTCCCTTCTCCCTTATATCACGGTCCCCTACGAGCATTAAACTGCTCCGTAGAACAGGTTAATGAGGGAAATAAAAGTAGTCTGTGTGCACAGGGCCTCGAGGTGCACTCGAATGGGAGGCAATATTGTGGCCAGGGGTGTCGGTGCCCGGAAAGTGATATACAGTTCGGTAATGGTGGCGGACGATCCGACACCTGGTCCCCTGGCCCCCTTTGTGAGAGGTGGCTGAAGAGCGAGCCCTACGCCACCAGAGGACCCCCATAAACTCCGGCCGCGCATTCAGCTAAATGGTTCTAAAGTGCTTTCAAAATACGAGCCGTCGCTACGAAAACCGTCTCTCTTTCTCCCCCTCCCTCCTCTTTCGCCCGCCCCTCTCCCCGGCGATCGACAACGTTGCTCTCTCCGCATGCCCGTCCCCGGTTTCCTAAACGATATGGGTGGTTCCTCGAGGATAAAAATGCAGATTAGGATTAACAAGCCGGGACGACGATTCCCGGCTTCCGTTGATTTACCGTCGTATAATTTTGCCCCGCGCGCCGCCGGCGGACGTGATTTTTTACGCGGTCGCCGCCCGCCCCGTGAGTTTGTTGGGATACGTTATTAGGATTATTTGCTTCCGTGTAATTTTCACTCGGTCTCGGGATTACCGTGGAGGGCAGGGAATTTTCGGGGTTCGTGGCTGACCGGACTGCGCGGGGAATAATTGAGTTCGGATGGAAATGCGGTGTGAAATTTAAATCGTCCGGAGTTCCCTGCGTTCTCTTCGGTGGATCATAATGAATCGGGTTCTGGGAATCGTCGAGGTACAGTGGAACAGGATATTATTAAATTCTCGTAGTTCTGTAAACGTTGAGATTGGTCAATTTAATTTGAATTGCAGAATTCGAGAAGCGTTGTTTTATCGAAGTAATACTTAGAGTTTAGAAGATTCGAAAAGTTTCTTCTGCCTGAGAATAAACTGTAAGAAATCTAAGGGGTGATAGCACACTGGTTACAAAATATTAATGCTTTATTTCTATATCCTAGAAAATTAAGGGAAACTAATGTCAGGCTGCTTTTCAGCGCGTTGAATTTCATAGATATAAAGTGACTAAATATAAGTATCCTTCGAAAGAAATTCTTCGATTTTTAATTCCCGAGTATGTTCAGCCAGATCGAAAGATCTCCGACGCCTCCAGCGAGAAAAATTTGAAGGATGCTGCGCGCGTGGGTAGAAAAATGTATATCGCATTCACGGGGCTCCATTGATCTCGAGAATCAAAGACGAAGAGTCGGGTACAGCTGCCACGAAAAACGGGCGTTACGATGATCGATCCTCCGGGTCTCCTTGGTCGGAGGCCTTCGAAATTCCTTCCAACAGCGCCTTCCGTTGTTCGGCGCATTTCCCATAACCGTCGGAATCCGGGAAACTTCTTTTGTAAAGGGTTGGTCTCACAGAAGCTTCATAAACTCGAAACAATTTCCGCCTCCATTAAAAAACACAATATTCCATCTTCCTGTCTCCAAAATTTAAACCATTACACACGGTAAATTCACCAAAACAACTGGATTATCCACTAATACACCCAGTACCCGTCGAATAGATGAAAGTGAGAACAAAAATTTTTCATATCGCGACTATTATCGTATAAATCACGTATAGAACGCTTTGACGCGATGAATGACATTTAATTATCGAAGAATCGCCGTGAAGAGCAAGATCGGTAATTGTTTCCATTCTAACCGGCGCGATTTACTTTATTTGTTGCTCGTTACGCTCGGAAAGTCCGTTGTCTATGAATGAGCCGGAGATTGCAGTATCCTTTCAGGATCTCGAAGGTAGCCGGGCTGCTTTTCGTCGTGGCTGTACGGCCGTCCCTTTGCAAGAAGGTGTGACTATGTTTGAATACACTGTTGATTGGGCCATAAATGTGTCTCTCAACGTACAAACAGTTCTCCTTTTT